TGCTTTGTGTCAGCTGATCAGAAAGAAGCAGACGAGTGTTCTGTCATTCTTTTCATTTTCTTCTGCAAAATTGAACCATAAAGGTTAGAAATGACCAAGTTGACATGCTTGTCATTCAAGGTCAGTTGAAATAGGCCTCTTGGCCACTAAAAGGTCAGAAATAGACCTAATTTAACAGTGTTTTAATGCTTAAACTGTTTGATTCTTACAGGCATGTCTCTCAAGATTCTGTGGAGGTTACATCAACCCTTGAAATGGACACAGGCCCCTGGATCTGCTCTCAGGACAGTAAATGGATTAAACAGTGTCGGCAGGACCATGGTGTTAAACTGCTCAACACTGGCATCCAGTGCACACACACAAAACATTCTTAAAGACCAGATCAGCTGTCACATCACCGTACATCACCATAGACACTTATTGCAAAGAGGAATGTTTCAAAGACCACACTTTAAAGTGCTGACTCCACTAAATTTAATATCTAAAACATGGAGTATACACATGAGATTGCAGTCCACAACAACGGCCACCAAGTCAGTGCTGAAACAAGGAGGTGTGCCTGGAAAAAGGACCTTTAAGGGACCAAGAACCAAACAGCCATCACGGACCACTCAGCCCAGTCTGGAGGAGGTGTGTCTACTGTGTGTTATCATCAAATCATTAGTGGCATATATAAATAACCGTTTATGTATTTAATGACATTTTTCAGGACATGATGCAGTGCATTGCATACGCAACTGCAGACCAGTACCATTTACCAACTCTCTGTCACGATCTCATAGCTAACGGCTTCAGTGAAATCAAAGAATTTCCCAGAGGTCAGTTCATCTTCATCACTTTTTTTATGTTTCTGAGCTGGCATAAAAAAAAGAATGCATTGCGTGCTTGTTTGTACGCAGTCTCTTATTTGTAGTAAATAAAGAAATGTTGTGGGTTTCAGACGCTTCTAACGTTTTGGCGATGGGAACAGAGAATGCTGCAAAAACAAATGACAGTGGCACAATATTCTTCTTCAGGTATAATGTTGAATGATTTTTTTTTTTTTTGTCACTTGAATTTCTGGGTTTTGATTTCGGATTTGTAGTTATTTTTTGTGCTGTTTACCATTTTAGAGAAGGCTCAGTGGTATTCTGGAATGTTGAGGAGAAAACAGTAAGTATTAATAGTACACACACTGTATGCAATGGCAGATGTGCTGATAGACAACTTTCAATTGGAAACTATTCAAAAGCTGTATTCATTTATTTAAGGCTAATGTTGGTAAAACCCCTTAAAGTGATATTTCACCTAAAAGGGAAAATTCTGATGTTAATTACATTAAGATCTTTGTGATGAAATCTGAGAGCTTCTGTCTCTCCATTGACAGCTATGCAACTGACACTTTAACGCTTTAAAAAGTTCATAGAGATTGTAAAACTAATCCATATGAATTTAGCGGTTTAGTCTATATTTTCTGAAGAGACTCGATCGCTTTATATGATGAACAGATGGAATTTAGGCTTTTATTCACATAAAAACTTTGATCAGTGAACAAACATATATATATACATATACTGGTGAAACACTAAAAAGTTTAATATTGTGCAAAAGTTCATTGATTTCAGAAATTCAACTTAAAAGGTGAAACTAACATATTATATAGACTCATTACATGCAAAGTGAGATATTTCAAGCCTTTATTTGTTATAATTTTGATTATACCATTTATACAAACCTACAAACCAGAATTAGAATATTGTGAAAAGGTTTTCATATCTGTAAACCATAATCATCAAAATTATAACAAATAAAGGCTTGAAATATCTCACTTTGCATGTAATGAGTCTATATGATATATTAGTTTCACCTTTTAAGTTGAATTACTGAAATAAATGAACTTTTGCACAATATTCAATTTTTTTGAGTTCACCATATATGTATGTGTGTGTGTGTGTGTATATATATATATATATATATATATATATATATATATGCCACATGAATCTGAATCAGGTGTTTGGCAAATATTAAAAGGCTCTTTCAAAAAATTAAAAATCATGCTACAAATCATGCCCTGCTGGTGTATTTTATATCCAGGTAAAGGCAGTGATGAGGATACTGGAGCAGCACGAAATTCAACCCTATGAAGTCGCTCTGATCCACTGGGAAAATGAAGAAATCAATTATACAGTTGGAGAGTCAGTCACAAATCTGTCATTTCTCTCATTGCAAAATGTGCAAAAACTGTTGAAATCATGTAATACCCCTTGAAAGTTGATGATGGCACTACTTTAAGGTGTAGCCCTGCTTTTATTTTTGTTTGTTTGTTCGTGTTGGTTCAGGGGTCATTCGAAGCTCCATCATGGAATCTTCTTGTTTAACGGAGAGCTGGATTATGAGCAGGTTGTTCTGGAGAAGTTTGCTTTTTCCAATGCTTTATCTCTGTCAGGTGGGATTATGTTTCCATTTTCACACATTTTTCATCAAACAATGTGAAACTAATTATATTTCGATGCTTGGAATAATTAATTGCTTTTAACTTCAGTTAAACTGGCGATATGGGAGGTTTCTCTCGACAACTTTGTTGAGTCCATCCAGTCAATTCCTGAGGTAGATCCACTTATGTACTCTTTCATAGGTAATTCCAGCATTTGCTGCTTTTTGAAAGTAGAAATAGTTTTGTATATTGAAATGAGGTCATTATAGCCTTGAACCTTTCTAAACAGATGTTGAAGTCTGGACAACGAGTGAAACTGTCCAGGGCTGAAGTAATGCAGAAGATAGGGGAGCTCTTTTCCCTGAGGTCAGGATCCATATGCAGGACTTCATCTGGTTTATAATCTACTGCTTTGTTTAATTCTGACAATATCGTTACACTTTTACAGGCACTGCATAAACCTCAGCTCTGACTTACTGATCACACCCGATTTCTACTGGGACAGAGAAGATCTCGAGCAGCTCTATGACAAGACCTGTCAGTTCCTCAATATCAACAGGAGAGTCAAGGTTAGTGAAAGTACTTGCTAAAAATATGAATAGATAAATATCCCGATCAAAGGATGGAATAATGCTGCATGGATCCTTTGTTTTTTAGGTTGTGAACGAGAAGTTACAGCACTGCACTGAACTGACAGACCTGATGAGGAATCACCTCAGTGAGAAACACAGTCTCAGACTGGAGTGGATGATCGTCGTGCTGATCACCATTGAGGTTAGAAAACACTGAATTCTCACTTATTTGATATCATCCAGCCAGCTCACTTTCATTTTGAATATCAGTTTAAATAATAGATTGCTGCAGTGTCCAAAAATGGCCTTTTTTATGTCTGCATCATATCATATACATATGTTTTGGAAATGCTACGTAAAAACAGTTATTTTCTTCTCTCTGAAGGTGATGTTTGAACTGGCTCGTGTAATCTTCTGAGGACCCACACATATAGTCTTACAAGAGGACTTGAATATTTATTTTAAACCAACAAATCATTTTTTTTCTTCTGTAAATTAGGTTGAAGTACTACTCATTGATCTCTTGTCATTCTTAATGTGAATTTGAGACCTGAAATAAAGTTTTTTTAAGGATAGTGGATAAATAGTGGCTCGTTTGGTCTCCTTTATAAACACGTTTACTCAGATCAGTTTATTCACATGCTACAATATCTGATTTTTAGAGAGTTATTGGATTTAATTCACTGTTGAATCTATGTCCTAAATGACTTCTGCTGGAAAATCCAGATTTAGCTGACTGCTGTGTTTTGGAACATGCTGGTTTTGAGATGGTCATTAGCTAGTCAACAATAAAGCCTGGTTTAACAGACAGAGCTTAGATTAAGCCAGGATTAGGGTTTAGTTCAATAAGGACATTTAAGTAGCTTTTATAAACATGCAAACAGCTCAAATTTGCTTTTTAGTCTTGAACTAGGCTCAAGCCTTGTCTGTGAAACCAGGGGTAATGTTTGTGCAAGATTACGCCTGACACTCGTGCTCTAAGGGTTGAACTACTTCAGATTTCATTTATGCGATGAAAGTCGAGTCACTGATGACATCAGTGATGAACCAATAAACCTCAAGCTGAGACTCGGAATGCAGGTTGCCTTGTTGACCTATTGACACAGCACTCCTACATAACAGCTGAATCAGTTCTTTTGTCTTTGGGTTGTTACATTTCTCACAGATTTCTGCTCATTCTAATTCAGATACAAATAAAGAAGAACAGTAAAGATTACTTTTCACTCTCCCTAATTCTAAACTATTTTAAGTCACAGAACACTGTTGACAATACATTTCTGTGCTACTGAATGATTTGGTGTGTGCGTGATCTGATCTGTCTGTATGTGTGTGCGTTACAATGCAACAGCGCATTAGTTTAGAATGGCGATTATCTTATGTGCAATAAGCTGTTTAAAAAGTACATCCTCCCGATGAATTTTGAGCATCCAAATAATCAAACATGCCTCTCAGTATGTGTTTATTTGTCATTTTAACTGTTGGAAATGGAGCGTAAAAGTGGACTTAAAATGTATTAACCTGTTGCGCCCTCTAATAGGCCATGAGTGATGAGCGACTAGTCGATTTAAAGCATCATGACAGCATTAAAGTCGACTAGCGACTAGTCTATGCAACCCCTGTCGTGCACATTATTATTGTTACTTCTCTTTATTCTTACATATATTCTTAAATATTAAATAAAATTCTTCTTCTCGATTAACATCAACTTAAGACTCAGCAAATGCCTTTATATAAAACTATGCTAAAGTAATATTTATATGGCTCTGAAATGTGTACAAATCTTCAGATGCTGCCTTATTTGCCCATGGCGTGAAACTTGGTATCATAATGGGGTTGTATTTTCGTCATCTACAATACTGCAAAAATGTCTCCATTGATTTTTACTTCACAAAAAGGTTTTGTTTTTTGCCTTTGGAACATTGCAACACAGGCCTGCCATCATAAACTGGAATTTCCAGCTGGGTGTTTTATATTTCAGACCTTTATTCACCATTTATTTCACTAGTTTATGCTGCTCAGATTTAACTGTTAACAAATACACCATGACGTGACGTCATGTGACGTTCTAATGCAGCTGATTGATCAGCCTCTTGTGATTGACAGCCGTTCGATCCGGCGCGCGCTCGTGTCATGTGATTTCAAACTCTCCGGAAAACAGCAGCAGCGGTTCACGACTGACTTGACTGGTACTGCTGTTTCGGCGAAGAAGCTTCCTCTGTTTTTCAGCCAACAAACCAAACTGAATAAGGCATTAGATTTCTTGAAAGAACGGTAAGTGACGCCTCAATGGTCTTTTTTGAAACAAGTGTTTAATAAACCGGTTGTCGGCGTTTTTACCCTAGTAACGATGAGCACTATTGATTACTCACGGATCCTGTCTGAAAATTATTAATACTTTGACCGTTTTCTTCTTCACGTGGCTTTCGTTATCGGAAAACGAACCATTTTTAATCTCTCTGTTTATTATTCGCTCATTAATAGGTGTAACGTTATTTTATTGGGTTCATTGCTCGAGCGCGTGTTTCCTATTTGTCCGAGGAAACTTTTGTACTCGGAGTTCACCAACATGGGCGGAGCCTTAACAGTAAAAACACACACACATACACGCACACACGAGTAGCCTCAAAACCTGTTTAGACATTTAAGCCAGACTTCTGCCACTTTAACATATTTAGGACATTATACAGTCATCATAGGATGTTTTTACATTTAAAATATTTTGCAGGTGTAGGTAAAGAGCGAGACAAGTGAAGTGCATACATACTAAATGTAGTTTTGGTGACCAAAATGTAATAAAATAATGAATGTGGAGCAAGATAAATTGATTGATCAGGAGAAATCTTTTGAAATCCTGATGATTTTTTAGTTTTAGGTGGGAAAAATGGATTTAGCACATCATGGTCTTGTGCTTCTGAAGCGTCTCAACGCTCAGAGAGAGTTTGGTTTCCTCTGTGACTGTACTGTGGCCATCGGGGATATACTTTTCAAAGCCCATAAAGCCGTTCTCGCTGCCTTCTCAAACTACTTCCGTATGCTGTTCATCCATCAAGACAGGTAACGTGAACTTGATTGCAAAAAGTCCTAGTACATTAATTACATTATTTCAGAGGAGACCAGGATTTAAATGACCCTTTCTGCTTCTCTTTTGTAGTGACTGTGTTCGACTGAAGCCTTCAGACATACAAGCAGATATCTTCAGCTACCTGCTTAACCTAATGTACACTGGAAAATTTACCACACAGCCCATTGACCCCCTTCGCCTTGAGCAGGGTGTCAAATTCCTGCATGCTTACCCCTTATTACAAGAGGCAAGTCTTCTTATAAATCCAGAGTCGCAGTATGTACCTTTGACAAACTCACTTTATGGTATACAGATACCTGATCAGACATGCAGCCGACACAATAAAAGATCTAAGGGGGATGTTTATGCTACAAACGGTGAAATCACCGGCCAAGAATTTTCCGATATGGATTATAGATCTCCACAACCTGTCGGCATTGAGTCACCCACCCAGAACCCTGCAGCATCGGTCGTCCAACACCTCACATATGGCATAATGAGTAGAAGTGCTTCCTCCAGGAAGAATTATGGCTGCAATTATTGTGGAATCCGTTTTAACCAGAGGTCCAAGTTGAAGGAGCATCTACTAGTCCACACCAGCCAAGCAACTGAGCCACAGATGTCGTCATTCATGCAAAATGGTCACACTAATGAGCTTGAAGGTCAGGAAATGGAGGAGGAGCTTTTGCATGCTGACAGTGACGTTATTAGTGATACCGATCAACAGGTGTGGATGGAAGACACCCCACCGCCCTCTGAAATTGCTGATATAGACAACCTGGAGGGCACCGAGATGGGTCGTGAAATGAAACGCCGAAAATTTGAGTGTCCGACCTGTGCTCGCAAGTTTATTCAGAAGAGCCACTGGCGTGAGCACATGTACATTCACACAGGGAAGCCGTATAAGTGCAGTGCTTGTGGAAAGAACTTCTGCAGAGCGAACCAAGCGTCTCGACATGTTTGTTTGAGTCAGGACTCAGATTCATACATTATGGTCAACAAACAGAGTTTGGTTCTGTGTGGTGGAGAAGACAACAGTCAGGTGGAAGCTCTCTTCCAGTCTTCAGAAAGACCCTATAAATGCAGCATGTGTGCAGCTCCTTTTGCAAGTCCTTCTGAGGTTCCCAAACATCAGTGTTTGCCTGAGAGTGAAGCTGTACCACTGGCAGAAAATTCAATGGGGGATAAGGACTTAGAAACAACCACTCCTGAAGTGACCAGTCCTTCTTAAAATGTCACGCTAAAGCAGTATTAGTCCTTTTCAGTGCCAATATTTAACTTTTTTTGTGTGTGTTTAAAGGTCCACTCCATTTTTCTTTCATGCTTATTTTTGTTTGGTGTTTTTTTTTTGCTGCTAAAATGTTTGTGGATTTATTTGAAACTAATAAAATGGAAAAACTATATGTACTGTTTCCCATCAAAAACAAGTTTCTTCATCCTGTTGCACAATGTTGAAAAATAATCGAGTTGTCTTATAAATCAAGACAAACATTGGTAAGGTATTTTTTATTTTATTTTTTTTATAAAAACTTGAAATATAATTTGTATTAAACCATACATTTTGAAATGTTTCAAAATACAAGAACAATACCATACTCCTGTATTTGGTTGATTGTTAATATTACAACTTCTTTGAAGATGCATAGCCTGTATAGTCAAACACTTCCTTCCTAGGAATATATTAGAATCAGTTAAAATGTTTCTATCAGTATTTTAGTGGCTTATTCTGTCAGGCCAGACGCTTTCAAACCCCCACAATACAGTAAGGCAGCTTATATAATATTAACAAAAAATGCATTAAAATAGTTTAATGATCTTAGAAAGTACAGAGTGTATTGATCTTCATTATATGTAACATTTATATATGTTAAGTGCTTCCCTGAGGGGGACAAGCCAACATTAGTTTGCATGCTTTTGATGCCAACAATAATGACATTTTCTTGAATTATAAACATATAAACAAAATATAAACATATTTTGTAACAATGTCATATCGCAATATGGACAACAAAAATAAAAAAATGTTTTTGATCAGATTTTAACTTTGTAAAATATCTTTGTAAAACAAATTAAACAATCTGTCATTTTCTGTTACAAATTAAGTGACTGATTCTGACCGAATACTGTCTAAATGGAACGTGATTGTGAAGTTTAAAATTTCAGTGCTTATTATAGCTTTGGTAAAGTGTACATCATATTTAGAATGTCATAGAAATTCCTCCCAGAAGTATAACGAGGCGTATAATGGTTCAACATAAATTAACCTTTGACCTCTTTACTATTTAATTAGTACATATCTTAACACACCAGGCAACTGCATTTGCCTTCAACAATTGACTTGAATTTTCCTAAACTAATACTAAAATTATGTGTGATAAGCTCACTCTAATGTAAGAATCAGCACATAAATAAATTATAATACATTGACAAATATCCTTAGTATGAATATGACGAAATAGCTGCTGGTTTCATATGTTGACATATTTTCTGTCAAAGAAAAAAAGTAGTGATTGATCAAAGAACAGCCTATCTACTGAACAACTAAACTTAATGGTATTTTAATGATGCAATTTTATTTCTCAGTGGTTTGGTCATTTCTTTGTTGTCAGAAATGTGAGTCCCAGGTGAGCACACATCCTTTTCCAAGTGTAAAAAGTTATCATCTGTCCTTGTTAAATTTGCACCTGAAATCATAAAATCATTGTTATTCATTTTAAAGAAAAATTAAATAAATTACTGGCAACTAAATGAAATATAATGAAATCACTTACTAGCTCATAATATATTTCATTTGGTTTAGCATGCCACTCTCAAATTGCGGCATCAGATGTTTGTTTAGCAGCCGTATCTTGGGATGTTACATCTGTGTGTGTCACTAGACCCTGGGAATCTCCAATATTATCTACAGCATCCTCCCACACATCATCCTCAACCTCTGATTGAGGTTCTGTTGAAGTAACAGGCTCGTGTTGCAAGGGACCCTTGGCATTTTCTTCAGGTAAAATTGGTGTCTTTTCCTCTTTTGCTGCTGCTAGTAGTGGTTCAACATCTTCAGGCACAACTGTAGCCTCTGTCTTTTCTTCCTTTTTTTCCTGTTCAACCATCTGCAACATTGGTTCCTGTACCTCTGGTGTCACAACAACAAGCGCTGCAGCTGCTACCTCTACAACTGGGCCAATGGCTGTTGTCACCATCACAGGGGCTAAAGCAGATGTCTGTGTTGAGGGTGTCTCTATCACTGCCACAACTGGTGTCACTTTTACCAAAGGCACAACTGGAGCTGAAGCTACAGGCACTGGTGTCTCTGCCACGGACACTGTTGGCTTTACTGCTTGAGTTTCTACTATTGTGCTCACAACTGTTTCTGCTGCTGCAGTCACTGGTGGTAGAACTACTGGAGGTGCAGCTTCTTTTACAGTCACTGAAACCAGAGCTGGTGTCTGTACCACTGGGATCGTAACAGGTCTCTCTACTACTGTCATTGCAGTTGGTGCTTCTACTATAGCTTCTTGTCCTAGGCTCACAACTGCCCTTTCTGCTACTGGAGTCACAGTTGATGTTATCATCTCTGGGGTCACAACTGGTGTCTCTGCCACAGACACTGTTGGCTTTACTGCTTGAGTTTCTACTACTGTGCTCACAACTTTTTCTGCTGCTGCAGTCACTGCTGGAGGTGCAGCTTCTTTTTCAGTCACTGAAACCAGAGCTGGTGTCTGTACCACTGGGATCGTAACAGGTCTCTCTACTACTGTAATTGCAGTTGGGGCTTCTACTATAGCTTCTTGTCCTAGGCTCACAACTGCCCTTTCTGCTATTGGAGTCACAGTTGATGTTATCTCTGGTGTCACAACTGGTGTCTCTACCAGTGCAACTGAAGTTGGTTTTACTACAGCAGTTTCAACTACTGGGATCACAGCTGACATTTCTGCTGCTAAAGTTGCTGCTGGTGTAACTATAGTTGCTGCTTCTGTTAGAATGACTGAAATCTGATCTGGTATTTCTGCCACCTGTGATGTCTCTGCCACTGCAATTGAAGATACTGCTGGAGTTTCTACTACTAGGGTCATATTTTGTTCTGATGCTACTAGAGTTTCAGCTGATGTAGTTAGTACAGAAGATACAGTCTCTGGTACTGTCTCTGGAATTATAGCTGGTATCTCAATGACTGGTGTCTGTGTAACTGCAGCTACAGTTGGTTTAACTGATGTGATGGAAGTCACCGGAGTTTTAATTACTTGGCTCACTGTTGTTTCTGCAATTGGGGTCACATCTAGTGTAACTTCTGGAGGTACAGTTTCTGTCATTGAAGTAACAGCTGATGTCTCCGCCACAGATGTTACAGCTAATGACATTATTACTGGACCTACAGTTGCTGACTGTACTGCTGGGATCTCTACTACAGGGGACACATTCGTATTCTCTATCACAGCTGCCACTAGAACTGGAGTTGATTTTACATCTGTGAAAGAAACAACTGGTGTTTCTACAACTGCTGCTTCTGCTACTGTAGTCACAACTGCTGCACTGAAGACTGAAGATGCAGCCACTGTCCCTAGCACTGAATCAAGATCTGGTGTTGGTACCACTGGAATCACATTCTGTATGTCTACTACTGGGGCCACAGCAGTCCTCACAATCACTGATTCAACATTTGGTGTTTCTGCTGCTACAGTCACAACTGGTGTGTCTTCGACTGATGCTACAACCATTGACTCTTTGCCTAGAGTTCCAAGTTGTGTTACTTCATCTAGAGGTGTAGCTGGTGTCACTACCACAGAAATAACAGTAGGCACCTCCTCCTCTTGTTCCTTGATCACTGTTGTCAACACTGACGTGTCAGTGTCTATGTTTTGATTCTGGGGAGTTACAACAGAATTGAGAGTATCAGTCGTCTTTGCCATAGATGTAACCACTAACGTTTCTACTTCAAGTTCAGTAACCACTGATGTGACAATAGGTTTCTCCACTTCCAGCTCAGTTACAACAGCTGTCTCAACTTTAACTTCTGTTACCACTGGCATTTCAACCTCTGGTTCTGTCACTTCAAGTGTCGCAGCTCTGAGTTCACTCACTACTTGTGTTTGTATCTCAGAAACAGAAATGTCTGGCATTTCTGCTGTAACTTCGGAGCTCAATGGTAGTACCTGTGCTATGTGAGTTGCTTCCATTACTGCTGGAATTTCATCTTTAATTTCTGCCTTGTCTAACTGTAACTCATTTGACAGTGTCGTTTCAATCAGCTGTTCAAGAGGTTCACATTTTAGCCTACCATCTTCATCTGCTTCATTCATGTGTTCACTCACATTACTAACTTCCATTTGTGCAGCAGTATCGTTTTGTGCAAGCACTGTGGTTGCAGCCACTTCAATCACAGTCGTTCCCGAGTCATACTTTTCTGGATCCGATTTGGGAGCAATAGCCATCATAACCTTTTCTTCTGGAACTGCTGTTTCTTTCATTAATGTTGCTACGGCTTGCTCACCATCTATTGCTTCAGCATGAACTACAGTCATTTCAGATGCATCACCCTCTTGTTCTGTTGGCTCTGATATTGCGAGTGCCTGTGCTACTGGTTCAACCACTGCAAGCTTCTCTGTCCCTGAGTGTTTTGTTGTGTTCTCAATAATGGCAACCATCTCTAAAACTTTACCAGTCTTAATATTCTCGTTTGTCATTGGTTGTTCATTCTCTTTGGGCGGTTCTGGACTATGTTTGGTGTCTTCACTGCACTCCACTGTTTGAGAACCCACTATTTCTATTGGTACAGGTCTTGCTTCAACTTCTGGCAATGCTGTCTCTTGAGGTGTCAGCATAACTTCACAACTGGTATCGAGCTCTGCTGGTGTTTCTATGTGCTCAGATACATCTTTTGAAAAGCTAGGAACAACTGTGTCTTCTCTAATTTCATGAACCGTCTCTCCATTTTCAGTATCTGCATCAACTGTTTTTTCAGGAGATTCATCAGTAGTATTTGCATCAGCAGAAACTTCTTGATTGTCTGTTTCATTGCTTTCAGTATTTGCTAAAAGTTGCTCTTCTTTTACAGCAAGTTCCTCTACCTCTTTCACAAAAATCCTGTCCATTCTGTCACTTGCACTGTCATCCCCTTTGTTATTATCCATATCTGTATCAATGTCTTCTTTATAGATCTCTTCAGCCTGCTCAACTAATACCGATTCTGGAAGTGACACCACCTTGGCTGGCATCTGTTCTCTGGATAATGATTCCTCTATAGCTTCTGAAATGTTTTCAGCCATTTTCTCACTGATGTCCTCTACAGTCACTGCTGAATCGCCTGCTAAAAGGACTGTATCTTTCGCGCCAACTTCTACTTCACAGACATCAACTTGTATTGATACTACTTCTGCTTCTAAATTGTCTTCTAACTCCAGTGTCTCGGCCACAATGTGATCTGAACTTATAATACTCTCTTTGCTTTCCAGACACTCCTCCACTGAGGCAATCATTTCAATTTCTTCCTCAGGGACATCTGAGGTTTTACTTGTAGTAGTGTCAGAAATGTTGTCTACAACGCCATGTGTCAAAGTTTCAACAACTTCAGCGAGTGCAGCTTGCTCAAACTCAGCAGGTGACAATTCAACATCTGGTAGCTTCAGCTCTTTTTCAGGTTTAGCAGCTAATTGTTGTTCATAGACCGGTTCCTCTAACTCTGGATACAATGGACACTCTGTTTCAGGAAGATTTGTGTAGTCTGACATAGCCTGGTCCAGCCCAGCTTCACTTTGCATTGTGTCAATCATTTGTCCGAGTTCAACACCAGTTGTACATTCCTCTGTTTTGCCCTCCATATGAGTCTCCTCTGATTCTTCCATTAAAGGCTCTTCCACTAATTGAATGACTTGCTCTATGTCCAGCTGTGTTTCAGTGCCAGATTCTTCTTCATTCACAATTATTTCCTGATACTCAGTCTTCACATACTTGATTTCAGCTTCATAGACCTCATCTGTCACATGTTCTGCAGCTTCAGGTTCATCTGTTAAGTTATCAGAAACGAATTCAGTTGGGACAGCATCGCTCACTTCAGGTATTGCCTCCACTAAGTGTGCAGGGAGATGCTCTTCAACAGACTCTATTTCCTGAGATACTAGACCTGTACATATTGCCGTTGCTTCAGTTTTCTTATGTGCAACCAAAACCGTTTTTTCCTCTTGAGTGTAGGACTGTACAATATAAGGTGAACTTGACACGGCCAGAGATTCTTGTCTTTCATCTTTTGTAGTTACTGATTGAACACTTGGAGTCATGCAGATAGATTGAATAGCTTCCTGTAGGATCACATCTGATGTTTGTACACTATATTCAGCCGACACTGGTGTAACATGTCCAGATGTCCAGGGTGATTCAGTTAGTTGCGAGACTGCCGAGACCATTTCAGTAGTGTCATCCCCAATGAATTGTTCACTTGCTGGTTCTGGGGCAGTGACCGCATCAGCTGTCAACTCCACAATGTCCTCAGATAAGGTGTCATCCTGTGTTGTCCACTCAGCAGATGATACTGGTGTTACAATGCTTTCCTCAATGATGCCTTCCTCTGGTATATCACTCAGTTGTTGATGTTTGCTCACAAAGTCTGTGAGTTCTTCAAAGTCCTCTGAGAGACCATGTATGACGGTTGGTCCAGTGTTACTTGAAATTGTAGCTGCAATTTTGTCATTGGATGTGTCCTTTTCTAACACTTGTAATGCCATCTCTGGCTTCTCATGTTCTATTGTTATTTCAACTCGTTGTTCATTCACCTCCTTCAGACTCTCAGGCTCAATTATTTCATACTCAGACAGGGGAATGATAGCTGGGGTTTCATCATCTTCATCATCTGTTTCATTATCCCTAGCAGCCTCATCGGAGGACGTTTGTTCTTGCCTTGCTTCGGATTTTCTTTTTTTATGCCCTGGAATAAGTTTCTTCTTAGAAAATGAATCGTCTTTGTTCATCTCACTGTCTGAAGGTATCTGCTCAGGGGTACTACTTTCTCCAGTTCTGACCTTTCTCTTTGGGGTGACCATTTTTTTAAACATTTTCCATGTGGATCTCATTTCTCCCTCTGCAGGACTTCCTGTTTGTTCATTAGATGATGTGAGATGATCATAATCACCCTCAAATGAACTTCCAAGTGGAGAGTCAGTTGTCTTCTCATTTTCTTCTCCTTTGTCTTCCGTTTCATTCTCATTTGTTTTTCTAGCCCTTTTTTTAGAGGAGCCACCACAAATCAGTGCCTCCCAGGAAACGGTGGTGTCAGATTTCTTTTTGGACTCTTGAGGGCTTACATCAGCAACCAGCTCCTCTTCAGCAGGTTTTGGTTCCCCAATCACCGGTTCCTCATCTTTCTCTTTCTCTGTCACTTCCATGAATGCCTTTGGCTGTTCAGAGACTTGTTCCTCTGCCTCGATCACCTTTTCTGCAGCTTTACTTTCTCTCTGCTTTCTTGTGGAAAATTTCCTAAAAAGTCTTTTAAGTGGACTTCCTTCAACCTTATCTTTCTCTATAAAATTCAGAAGCTCTCCTTCAGGTAACAACGTGTCATCGGCTTTCTCCACTGAATCTTTTTCTTCCTCTGATAAAATATAAGGGATATCAATACACATGCATTTACTGTCCTCACGCTCAGCATACTCTGTATCAGTTTTCTCAATTCTTTTGAGTTCGTCTTCCTTGCTCTCTTTCTGTATTTCCTCTTCTTTCTTTCTTTTTCTTAAACTGGCAAAGATACCCTGTGTAAAGAATTGCTTGATTGGTGACATTTGTTCCTCCGGCTCAGGACTTTCTTTTGCCATTTCTTTATCAGGTGTGTCCTCCACATGATGTTTCACTAACTGTATGTCCGGATCCAGCTCCGTTTCATTGTCTGTTTGCTGAAAGGGTTCTGCTGCATCAGGCTGGGAAAACGCCTCACTTTTGTGAGTCTCGTCAGTCGTGTTTTCATTTGCTGCCACTGCGCTGTTCTCTTGAGTGTCATTGGAGTCCTCTGAGGGACTTGCAACTCTTTCTTCTTGCTCATTTGCTTCAGTTTTTTCACATGTGTCTTTTTTTAGGGTAAACTTAAATCCAACAAATCGGAAGATTTTTTTGAAGCCAACTTCATTGATATCATTCACTTGGTTGTCCTCCTTAGGTTCTTCACCATCCGCATTGACCATCTCTGTGCTCTCATTCTTAATGTTTGGTTGAAGAGCATCCATTTCCTGAAGATCTTCAGTTGTTTCTGCGCCATCTTCTTTCAGAGTGACAAACCCTGATCCAACTAACAAAAAATAAAGAAAGAAAGAAAGAACGTTCAAGAAAGTTGAGTACATATGCTATATATGTGTGTGTGTATGAAGTATTTGTGCTTGGATATTTAAAACTATATATGCGCTGTTTTCATTTCAAATTAGAAACAATGAGGGAGAATACCAATAACATAGTACCACCTACCATCTGCAAGTACTCTTTCCTCATAGTGCCCATTTAATTCATCTGCATGGCTCCTTGTCTTTACATTCAAATTGGAGATCTGTCCATTTTTCTGTAACAACTAAGCAAAAGACAGTACAAATTAAGGAGTGACCAACAAGGTAAACAATGGATTTAGCTATAAATTTAGCTTATGACTCATAAAGGAACAATAAATAATGTCAATTTACATTGTAAAAACATTACACAAACTAAAATAATACAACATTATGCTATAAATGTCTATTGTCTCAAAGTATATAAGATAATGAATAATGAACAGCAACATACTCAAAAGGTTATGGTTAAAATCAGTCGGCTCAGTCTGGCCAAAAAATTAATAAATAAATTAGCACTGTAGTGACAGATTGAAGTTAGTAAATTCCCCAAACATTTTTCAAAGGTTATCACAATATCATTTGACTACATTTGCTTAATGTTAACCACCTTATCACAATGTAGTTTGAAGGAGAGGTCTCTTGGGATAACTAACAAAATAAATGAACACATTCATGGAATCCGAGTATCAGATACTGTAGCTCTCCTTTGACTAAAAGCCATTTCACAGACTTCCTGTTAAACCATGGCTGACCTCATCATGTTTTACATGGAAAATCAATGCACCCAGTACAGTAAGGGAAAATTCCACGAATCCTTTGGGAATAAGAGCACTACAAATATCCCTATCCATTAATGTGCACACATTCGTCCAAAACAACTGACAAAACCAAACAGAGTTGTGATATGTTGAAATAAACCGTCTTTCAAAAAACAAAAGGAAATTGCATTTTAAATTCTTAACCTACACATTTAATACAATAATTCAGATGAACAAGAAAACAAACATCAAAGGCCAAACCAGTAATTCAATCCACATGATAAGAAGCAGTGTAGTGATTAAATAGCCTACTTTTAAATCGAATTTAAAGTTTAGAGTCCGGGTGTAAAAGAATTTACCATATCCTTCAAAAGCCATGGGGAAGCATCAATTATTATGGTTACTGTATTATTATTGGCACTTGGCAGATGATTTGTACATGTGTGTGATTTTATCCGAATAGGTCTACTCCTGCAGTTCACATGCCACAAGATGACAGATTCTTCCTCAATGTCTTTCTTTAAAGTAAAGAACCAAATATAGAAAATGTTCTAGAATTTAGATAAGATAAGATAAACTATCTAATCTGAACTACCATGTCTAATGCAAATTTTGTTCACTAAAGATAAGATAAGATAAACTATCTAATCTGAACTACCATGTCTAATGCAAATTTTGTTCACTAAAGTGTATTTAGGCCAAACACCTATAAATAGGACAAAGTCACCTAATCTTTTTCCTTTCAACCTTTGACTTACTGCAAAAATAGCTGCAGCTGAGGATATTGGATTTTTGACATTTGTTTTTTTGACATTTATTTTGACATTTCCCCCCATAAATAACTAATACATTTAGAACATCAAGCATGTGCGATCAGATGTTTGTTTCTTCTAAACAGCAATGAGATTGAGATCAAATGGAGATTATAGCTTCAGTCTCAAATTTTTCTTATGAGAGAAGCAATGTGTCCACTCTGTAGTTTTTATTATAGATGTCAACAATGTCTCAAACTGTGCTCAAATTTGCCAAAACACCAAAGACTGCAATCAAAATTCATACTGTATTTATGAAGTCACATTTCTCATTGAATGATCAAGACTAAATTAACTGCTATCCCCATTAATTTTATGACTCTATACATAGGCTACTCTCAACAAATGTCTCATTTGATTGTATTTCATGTATCTCTCAAGGAGAAACAAGGATAACTGAGAAATCTCTTCTCCCGAGCTAAAAAAAGGAGCAAACACTGAGCAATAATTTGGTCCTCTGTCTACCAATCAAACATTCTTAACATCATATGCATGTTCTGCATTACCTCAGAAATGCTATCTAGGTAGGCAGCCTCGCTATGTTTTGAGATGCAGCCCTTGCGTGTCCTTAGATTCAGAGATCGTGCCTTTGAAAGTTTGTGAAGCATTTCTCAGCAAGCAGGAGACTGATTTCATGTATTCTACCTTGTCATCGGGACTGCCGTCCCCCTGAGCCTCGCTCGCTGCTGCAGTGCCAGTGAGTTCCTCCGCCTCGTCCTCCTCGCATCGGCTGCTGGATGATGCCGTAACTCCCATTTTCACAATCCTTCTCTTCGCTTTCTTCCCTTTCACCCAATGCAACTGCAAAGCGAAAGAGAGGATATCCAAAGATGAGTGCTGAGCGGTGGTCGGACTCAGAAGTGATGCAGTTTGGCTCGATACAAACTCTTTTAGGACGCATCCTTCCTGCATCACATGAACACACTGGCACGCCTCGACGGATCAATGGAGAGAGAACGAGAGTCCTGGGATGACCGAGCGACAACCAACTACAATGAATGTATTTATAAGAATAATTACGCTTAATTATGCTTCTCGTGTGTTTTTATGTATAGTCCAATGATTGCATTAGCTTAAAGCTTGTAAAAACAACTCATGTCGTAGGCTAAAGTGGAATAGGCTACTATAGCCAAATGTTTTTTTTAGACAAGACAAACGTTACGTTAATTTCAAAGTTGAAAATGAAAAAAAAAGTTCTCTGTGATCCTTTGAGGAAAAAAAAAACAAATACTTTTCCTACATACAAATATATTTGTTGTGATATAATTTGTTTTTTAATATCTTTATATCTACTAGATATAAATGTCTTAATATTAAATCCAATTAAGTTGGCTAATTAAGACAAGAACTAAAACAATTGAAGGTCAAGTCAGAAATTCAATTCACATGGCCTACTCATTCATAAATGAAATGGCGAAAAGTAGCTTATGTGGTCACTCCCTAATTATCAGGTTTGTCTATTCCAGTTATCAGTTAAACAAATATTGGTAACGCTTCCTTTTACAGTACTTACAGTGTACTTGCCTAGAAAGTACTGGCTAATATAAGGTACTTACCTTATATTAGCCTTATATTATTACCTACTTAGCTACATGGAACAGCGGTAGGTTTAGGGGTAGGTTCAGGGTTAGTACTAGTTATTACCCAGTAATTGTAGTTACTAAAATAAGTACATAGTATTTACATGGGTAACTGGACTGTAAAAGGAAGCGTTACCCAAATATTAATGCTACATAGCTACAATATAATTAGGCTATGTGCTTCTGATTTTGTTGTAGCTAATTTTCTGTTGTGAATGACAAAGTTAGGTCCATGTAGAAAATTAGGGCTGTAACGGTTCAAATATATGGTTTGGAAAGTTCTGTGTTCAGGGAATAAAGGACTAGGCCTACTGTCAAATTTTAAAAAAAAAATAAGAAAAAAAAAGAATAAGAACAAATAATCCAATTATAAGCAACAGCACAAATAAATACAATAGTTTCAGGTTTTTCAGGTGGTCTATCATAGTTTTCAGGCACATATGCATGAATGTGCCTGAAACCTATGATTTGGATTAGTGCACACAAAAAATCTTCTCATGTTTAAATTGACAGATTGGAAGTTTAAACACAGATAGCAACGTGTCCTGTTCAGGTTTTATCTGCGTTTGTCAGATTTGAGATGAACCGTGGGTGGAGAATGGTACAGTTCGATTTTTTACATGCCGTTACACCCCTAGTATAAATTGCTTGCTGGACATTTTAAAAGCGTGCAAAGCATGAATCTCTCCCTTCGCCTGCTATAAAAGTTTAAACTCCTGGGAAGGCCTTACACTAGATTTTGAAATTGGATGCAGGGATTTGATTCTATTTAGACTCAAATCATGAAGGGGCCTGTCTTGCAGTTTCAAATGATCCTGAAGGTGTTCAGCAGGGTTCAGGTCTGAGCTATGCAGGTCTGTTAGTTCCTCTACACCATAAAGTATTTCTATTATACTGCCATGCTGAGACAGAAACGGGCCTTCCTGCTTAATAATTAAAGCCCGTACTTTAATATATGATGAATAGCATTAAGATATGTCCTCACAGATAGGTCTTGAATAAACAAACTGCACATTATAAGGGGGTATTCATATACTTTTTACTATATAATGTATGTGGCCTACTACTCACCTATCAAAGACCAACTTGCTATGATGGTTGAAACACATGGTGCTGAGCTGCTTTCCATCGGACAGCTTGTAAAATTGATGCCTCAAAAACAATGAAGCTGAATGTCTTAAAAAAACCCAGCCAAAGTCCTGATTTATTTAATTTAATTGTATGTATATAGTGCCTTTCACCAAGGTACTGATCATTTTTTTTAAACTAAACGGTACATTGGAAAGAAGCGGTTGAGGAAAGAAGGTATTGTTATTAGGTAAGGGTGAGTAAGTAGAAGGGTGCTACACTCTAAACAATGATGGGTGGTTTTAACCCAAGTTTGGGTCAAATATGGATAAACCCAAATGTTGGGTTAAAATTTTAATAAAAAAATTAACCCAAAAAAATTAAACACTTTCAACTGTAATTTTTTTTATTACATTTTTAACCCAACATTTGGGTTTGTCCATATTTGACCCAAAGTTGGGTTAAAACAACCCAGCATTTTAAGAGTGAAGGGAAAAGTAACGGAAATAGGATTGGGCACAGGGCGAGGGACCGTGTGGGATTGGGGTGGGACCGAGAGGGACAACAGAGATTGAGAGCGTAAGGAATGGGAGGGAACATAGTAGGTGATAAGTGCAGCCAGATAGGTTGGGGCAAGACCATGGAGGGATTTGTAGACCACGGTAAGGAATTTAAATAAGCAGCGATGTTGCGGGTCAATTTGACCCGTTTAGATTTTCTAGTTGTTGGAAATACTGGTTAACCTATATATTTTTTCTTGATATTTTGTGACTTTTTCTCATTTATCCTCATGAACATGCATGCAAAGTTTCAACATGCTGGTGTTTTTTGACATATACAAACATAATTACTATTACGTTCGTGATGTTCGCGGGTCAATTTGACCCGCATATTTTAATGCTCTAATGCAACTGTACCGACCCAAAATAATAATATTTATTGGTTATATTTTGCTATTTTATCTTTTTACTACCTTATGAAGCTAAAAATTAGGGTTTCCACACTTATTTCAATTCAGAAAAATATTTTGTCAGCCACAGATGGTAAAAATTACCTTTCATTTATTTTTTCAAGCTACCTGATATATTATTAAACCTTTGTTTTTTTTCTTGATATTTTGTGACTTTTTCTCATTTATCATCATGAACATGCATGCAAAGTTTCAACATGCTGGTATTTTTTGACATATACAAACAAAATTACTATTACGTTCGTGATGTTCACGGGTCAATTTGACCCGCATATTTTAACGCTCTAATGCAACTGTACTGACCCAAAATAATAACATTTAGTGGTTATATTTTGTTATTTTATTTTTTTACTACCTTATGAAGCTAAAAAAATTGCTTTTCCACACTTATTTCAATACAGAAAAATATTGTGTCAGCCACAGATGGTAAAAATTACCTTTCATTTATATTTTCAAGCTACCTGAAATAATATTAACCCTTTGTTTTTTTTTTCTTGATATTTTTGTGACTTTTACTCATTTATCATCATGAACATGCATGCAAAGTTTCAACATGCTGGTGTTTTTTGACATATACAAACTAAATTACTATTACGTTTGTGATGTTCGCGGGGCAGTTTGACCCTCATAGGCAGCTATTCAAAAGCAACTGTACAGACACAAAATAAAAACATTTATTTTATGTATGTCAGGGCATCAACTCCAGTTCTAAAGTGTAAGTGTATCTAAAAGTGCTCTAACCCTAACCAAACTTGAAAAAAGCTAAATAATGGTGTTCAGAATTAATTGCAAATTACAAATGAAAATCTTTGACAGACACAGATAGTAAAATAAGCTCTCATTTTTAAGCTCTCTTGGTGTCTGAAAATCCTACATATAAGGTTTGGTTAAAAGCTAGGTATTTCAAAGGCAGCTTCACAGACCCAAAAAAATAAATAAAAAACATTTATTTGATGTATGTTTTTGTTATGTCTGGTTTCTGTTCATTTTCAAATTTTGTCAAAACAAAACAGTTTTAAAAAATGGTTAAAACACATGTTCATTAAATCATATCTTCAGATATATATTTTTTGGAATATTTGAAAAATGTTGATATTAAAAGTTTACAGTTTGAACCTGAATCTTTGTTGGTTTTCATAGTGTGATTTTTGAGGAATTGTATTGAATCCAATTAGGGTCAATTAGAGCAAAGAGTAGCTCCTAGTGTCAAAATTAAAATTCTTAGAAATGTGGGCGTTTACTCTTAAAATTAAAGAAAAATTCCTAGTAAAGAAAAGTAATTTAGAAAGCATCTTAACCCTTAAAAGAGGTCTTAAGGGTTAGGGTCTTAAGGTCTAATTGTTATGGACGAGGACTTTAAAGAGGCTTTAAAATGAAAATGGCAGAAAGATGAAGAGGGAGAAAAAATGTATTGCAGACAATGGATGACAGTGAGTTAATAAGACGCTATAGATGAGATCATGCAGGAATCATGTTTGTGACTGATCTTATCTCAGACTCAGCGGAGGAATGCCATAACGCCAGAAATGAATGTAATCACTACATTAAGATATTTGGCAAATGGGAAAATATTATAAAGCAGCAGTGATTTGGGTCTGTCACAACCTTCTGTAAGCAGTGATCACACAAATAATTACAGCACTTTCAGAACCTCTTATTGTCGCAGTTCATTTAGTTTCCACTGGACATTCCCATCTTGCAGGCTCAAAAAACTGCATTTATGAATATAGCAGGCTTTGGTGCGCACAAGCGGGGTAATGAACCGTTAATAATTTGCGCTATAAGCTCCCACGTCGGCTTCTTGCCCCGTGCTGTGACACCCGGCCCGAATTTTCCTTTAATGATGGCCTATCACTCTCAGAAAAAAGGTACAAAAGCTGTCACTGGGGCTGTACCTTTTCAAAAGGTAAACTTTTGTCCATTTTAGGTCCTAATATGTACATTTTAGGTGCTAATATGTACATTTTAGGTGCTAATATGTACATTTAAGGTGTTAATATGCACATTTTAGGTGCTAATATGTACATTTTAAGTGTTAATATGTACATTTTAGGTGATAATATGTACCATTAAGGTACCAATATGCACCCTTTAGGTAAAAAAGTTTACTTTTTAAAAAGGTACAGCCCCAGTGACAGCTTTTGTACCTTTTTTTCTGAGAGTGATAGTGTTCATCCACTAACTGGGCTAACAGTAAACACGGTTCTTCTGTCCAGTTGGGCTCTCTCATCTTTCTTGTTTTTTTATTCCATGTTTTCTATATTAAAACCATCATTCAAACCACCACTTAAATAAACAGCAATCAGTGTAATTGGAAAGAGTGGAAAATTTTTATCATTCTAAGCCAATCAAATA